ATTGGCCCTAGAACAATGCAGCAGTATGATTGGTCCACAGGAGCCACCCAATCTAGCTCCAGGTGGAAGTGAATCCACAACCTGATTGGCCTACAAGAGAATCCTGGAATTAGCCAATCACATGCGACCCGTTGTGTAAATAATGTATATAAAGCAGATATTTTAGGGGAACATTCATTCCTCCTCAACACTGTGAGCTGAATAAAGAGCATGAAATCCACTCTCGACTCCGAGTATATTTCAGCGTGGAATAATGACTCAAGACAACGTGTTATGGGATTAAAATTTGGAAACAACTTTATTAAAACTTCAGATGTAGGGAGACCTTGGCTTAGGCATTGGGCGTTTCTCCCTCCCAGTCCCCGGCCGGGGATCTGGGGAACATCAGGGTTATCCAGAATGTGTGGGGATTGGGCTGGCTCTGGAGAACGTCTGTTCAAGCAGAGAACCCGCCCCACATTTTGCCAATAACAACCTAATGGCGTATGGCCAATGCCTCCCCTCAAAACAACCCCTTTAACAACCCTGGGATCGCCACTGCTGGGGGGGCATGGGTCACCACTTCAGCCCCCCCTCCATTTAGGGAAGATAGACTAAAGGATTCGGCCCAAGGCCTGAAACTGCCTAAGTTGTGACGTTTTGCTACGGGGAAGGAAAAACCTGCCAATGCAGGAAAATTCATTTACGGCCCTTCAACAGCAACTGTAACGTAGCTGCGCCCGCGTACCTGCGAAGAAGAGGTTAACCTGCAAAAGAAGGCTTAACTGAGGGAGGGCAGGGTGGGAGAAGCTCTGAAGCCAACTGAGAACTCCCAGGTAAGTTCTGCCCACTATTGTGTGAGCTGGGCGATCCCTCCACTTACCTGGCCAACTCTCTCCTGCCAACACCTCCCCAGCTGGGATTGGGTAACTGGCAGAGGTAGGTGGCTACCTCCAGGTGTCTAGCCGGGGGGCAAATCCAGGGTGTAGTGCCAGAAGCTGCATGGGATGGGGGGGGGCTGCGCACGACCGTGATGTGGGGAGCGGTTATTCTCTTCCTCTGTGTGTTTGCATTTGTGTGCACACAACGAAGGAATGTACCTCCTGCATCTCCCCACCCCACACCTGTGGTGTCATCTCCTCGGGACTCTACTCAGCGTGCACCCCTGTCTCTGAAAGGACCTCATTTCTTAACTTTTTAAGAGCCAAGTGGCTGACTGAGGAAAAGCTCTTACAAGCAAAAGGAAGCTAAGTCCTCTTGCAAAAATAGGAGACCTAAACCAAGTGTGTGGCCTGCAGACTGCAATGCTGGAACTGACTCTCTGTATCACTCGAACTCAAGACTGAAAATCTGAAAGCCTTTCGGAAGTCTGCAAAGAAGAACAGGGCATTTGACTTCACCTAGCAACATCGTTGCCTGTTTATGATTGGAATCGTAATTGAATTCCTCTTGAACTGTGAGTCATACTGATGGCGTCGACTGGTTGTGAGTTGTGAAGGCCGCTTCCTACAAGGCCCTTTCCACCTGGCCTAGGGGGCAGGGCGTAGACTCACCAGCTCTACTAAAGAGGCTACTGGTGAGACCAGAGAGACATCGCTAGGCCTGACAACAAACCCTAACTATTGGATTCTTTTGCCCCATCTTTTTGTGCCTGCTAAACAGCTGTGTCATGCTTATGATAATATTTTATTCTCTTGTTTTAAATGTGCATTTTATATTTGACTTTACTTAGCAATGTTGGTTTTTTGCGGGGGGGGGATGCTTAAGTTTCGTGTTTTGTTTTTGTTAACTTTGTGTTAAATATGTATTCTGTAGTTGACTTCCTTTGTAATGTTTTATTTTGAAATCTTTAATATTTTAGTTTTTTGTTAACTGTGTTGCTTTAACTGTATACTCTATATTTGACTTTCTTCAGATTGTTTTATGTTTTAATATGCTGTAAACTGCTTCGAGATTTTCCTTGAAAATATAAAGTGGTATAGAAATAAAATAAACAACAACAACAACAACAACAATGTTCATTGAAATGTTGTGTCCAAAGACTGCAGCTGATGGAGAGAGCACCCATCCCTCAACTTTCTTTCAGATTATTTAGATTTGGTAAATCATTCTTATTGATGTTCTGATTGTATTGATTATTATAATTGATTTATGTAGTTCTGACGGTTTAGCTCCCATGAAAATAGAAAGGCAGGATACATCTAATAAAAGACCCTCTTCCTCCTCCTGAGCCTGAGGCCAGGACTGTAGCCTGAGAGGGATGCACAGTTCCCCAATTATTTTGGAGGAATTCCACTCCACACATTTAAAGCTCTTACACCACTTTAAAGAGTCCAGGCTTTCCCAGAAGAATCCTGGGAACTGTAGTTTGCTAAGGGTGCTGAGAGATGTTAGATCTTTAACAAACAGAGGTTCCCAGGATGTGTTGGGTGAATCTGTGACTCTTAGTGCAATGGTTCTTTAAATATGTGGTTGTGACCACTGTCCTGGGGTTCGGATTGCAGTGTGTGTGTGTGTGTGTGTGTGTGTGTGTGTGTGTGTGTTGTTGCAGAATGGTTTAATGATCTCATTCTCATCCTAGCACATCGTCTTCATTCAACTCTGGCTGTTGAATGAATGTTTTGTTATAATCATTATTAAGTTTAAGTGGGCTTTGGCCTCCTTCCAGACAGCAGCTTGAAAGGGAAACAGAGGAAAACTCAAATGATGACAGAAGGCAGGGGCATTCAGCAACCAAGAGTTTTGGTTTGGATAGGCTCGGCCCAATTTCACTCTGGTCCATCTGAGTGTCTCCTTTCCACCTATGCCTCCCCTCCCCCCCCCAAATATTCACAATTAAGAAATCAGAAAACAACCCCCACCTCCCTTTCGACAGAACTAGATGGAATGATTAGGCATAGCAACTCCTGCAGAGACCAAAATGTTTTAAAGGGACAATTTATCAAAAAATATATCTGCCCATATAGTCAGTAGAGTGTGAGACTCTTAATCTCAGGGTCGTGGGTTCGAGCCCCACGTTGGGCAAAATATTCCTGCATTGCAGGGGGTTGGACTAGATGACCCTTGTGGTCCCTTCCAACTCTACAATTCCATGATATCCTGTGATTAGTAGTGAACTGAGTTTTACACAGAACAGATGCATCAAAATCAACACATCCATGTAATTTGTGCCCATCAATTTAAATAGGTCTGCTGTGGAAAGGACTAATGTTGACTAATACAACCCTGATGTTTTCTGATTACCATATTTTTCGCCCTATAGGGCGCACTGGCTCACAGGGCGCACCTAGTTTTTTGGGGGGGAAATAAATTTTTAAAAAATTATTTTCGACCCCAGCCCCCAGAACAGGCTGCTATCCGCAAGCCTTGCGAGCCCGGCGGGAACTCCCCCCAGGCTCGCAAGGCTTGCGGATAGCTTCCTGAAGCCTGGAGAGTGAGAAGGGTCGGTGCACATCGACCCCTCTCGCTCTCCAGGCTTCAGCGAAAGCCTGCATTCGCCCCATAGGACGCACACACATTTCCCCTTCATTTTTGGAGGGGAAAAAGTGTGTCCTATGGGGCGAAAAATACGGTATTTTATAAAGCGTTTCCCTCGATACCAAAAAATGGAGGCAGAGACAATTTACTGAATTGCAAAATCACCAAAGCTTTATTGAATGAATTGATTTATTACAGTCACAAACCAGAATACAGTATGGACTTATACAGAGATAGAGAACATGTAGATATATATGTAGGTTAATATTGAAATCTATAAGCTAAAGGTAAAGGTAAAGGGACCCCTGACCATTAGGTCCAGTCGTGACCGACTCTGGGGTTGTGGTGCTCATCTTGCTTTATTGGCCGAGGGAGCCAGCGTACAGCTTCCGGGTCATGTGGCCAGCATGACTAAGCCGCTTCTGGCGAACCAGAGCAGCGCACAGAAACGCCGTTTACCTTCCCACCGGAGCGGTACCTATTTATCTACTTGCACTTTGAGGTGCTTTCGAACTGCTAGGTTGGCAGGAGCAGGGACCGAGCAACGGGAGCTCACCCCGTCGCGGGGATGCGAACTGCCGACCTTCTGATCGGCAAGTCCTAGGCTCTGTGGTTTAACCCACAGCGCTACCCGCGTCCTGATCTATAAGCTAGAACACAGTAAATAATGCAAATGTAAAACAATTAAAACATGTAGTTTAAGACCTTAACCACTAATTTAAAATATGCATATCAATGCTTTATTATAATTAAGGCAGGTAAAATACTTATTACTCTTAATATTATTCATTGCTATGAGGCTTCTTGAAGCAATTCAGAATACAATCAACATTACCAGAACACTTTCCTTTACAAGGACAATTTAAAAAGCAACAATTTAAAAGCAATTAAAAAGTGCAGTGGTACCTCATGTTACAGAAGCTTTAGGTTACAGACGCTTCAGGTTACAGACTCCGCTAACCCAGAAATAGTACCCTTGGGTTAAGAACTTTATCTCTGGATGAGAACTGCAATCGTGCTGCGGCAGCAGCAGGAGGCCCCATTAGCTAAAGTGATGCTTCTGGTTAAGAACAGATTCAGGTTAAGAACGGACCTCCAGATCGAATTAAATTCTTACCTTATGCATTATATCTTGCACTGTCCGTTATATAATGATGCAAGAAAAAGATTTTTGGTACCTATAATGACAGGGTCCCTTGGCCAGAACCCCCTTGACATGATTTTATATCTCCTTGCAGACACAGATAAGTATGTGACCTGACGGGTAGCACTTTTTGCAACTGCTGCTAGGGAAATTAGAGCAAATTATATAGCCGAGGTAGCCATTAACTGTAAAGGAGATGAATTTATTTGATCCTATCTATCTACCTCAGGCTATGCTCTATCTTTGTCACCAAACTCTGAGTATAAATTTCACACTGTATTAATTGATATTGTTTTTAACATTAGTGACCATGTGATAATTTTAGCTTATGAATTTTATTGTTTAATGTTTTTATTTGTACATTGGGGTACTTTTATAGCTTTGTTTAGAGTATGTAATGTTTTAATTATATAAATGTTTTAAGTCTTTTTTTATCAATTCAGTATATTTTCTTTTAATTGTCAAATAATTTTGTGTACATTGTGGCAGCCTTTGGCCATGTGCAATAAAACTGACTGAGATTGAGAATTAAATTCTTAACCTGAGGTACCACTGTACTATTGCATAGGAAATAATTTGAAAACAACAGCAATGATCACAATTAGCAACAACACACACAATGAAACAGTAAGCAAAAATTGCCGCTCCATAATTGCTGAGCCTCAAAACTTAGACTTCGGTCTTCTCACCGTAATTGAAATCGACACTAAGCATTATGTCATCTGGAAGAGAATGAAGGAGAAGAGAGATTAATTTATGTCACATTTACTGATTCACCAAATTTACCTGGTACCCATTCAACCATACAGGGCTGGGGTTCTATTTATGGATGCTGTCTTTGTTGGCAATGACAAGCCTGCAGTTTGGCCTGCAGTTCCTTCCAAGCCTGCAGTTTGGCCCTGGAGGGAAATAGCCACGTTTGTCCTGTGGCAGAATCTCATAGCCACATGACCCAGGAGGTCTGCATCAAGCAAGGATGCTGCAGCTACTGAGTGCGCCCTCCTTAGTCTGGAAAGTGAGTCCCACATCCCCAGGCTGTGGGTCTTACCTTCTTTGGGGCAGAAGTGAGCCAGCTCCAGAGGGATGAGAACATTCTGTAGAGAAAAGAAAATACAGTACTGGATCAGATGACCGGTCTGATACTAAACGCTCCACAAATAAAGGGTACAAGAGAACATGGAAGCAGACCCAAGCCAGGGAAAACTTGCTTCCATCATGGGATGAGTGAGTTCTATTGCCTGGCCCCAGTCCCTTGCCCCAGGTGACTTCAATGGGTCCTGCAGCCTACTAGGCAGAGGTGGAAGTGTAACACCAAGGAAGAAGGCAGGAAATGTCTCCAGAATTGTCTGGCATCCCAGGGACACACCTTGTGTTGTATGCCTGATACCAGACTGTGGGAATCCTTTCATAAGTCACTCTGGGAGCCTCTTGGGGCTGTTAAGGTGAGATGTAAGTGTGCCAAAGGAATTAATAAATAAAGGTGAGATACTTACCTTCAGGCGACGGAGCGCCTTGGCATAGGACATCAGCGAGCCAATGCCACTGGCTGCCAGCTGCCTCTCCGCCGCAACCGGACTTTTGGTGTAACCTCTCAGTTCCTGTGGAAGGAAAGAAGACCTCAGAATCAGGGGCTGGTCTGGGTGAAAGAGACAGACCACTGTGAAGCCCCTTACATGCTCAGAGAGAGATCCGTTTCTCACTGTCCTCAACTGTTCTAAAATGGCAATGTCGTCCAGCCCCAAATTGTAGCTCTGCGTTAAAGGCCCTCCTTTAGCTGTTTGGGCAAGTGGGCCTTTGCTGGCTATTCCATGTGGCCAGCTTGCCTTCCAAGAGGGGAAGGGCCCAAGAGGTGCAAGGCTGAGAAAGTGTATGCTAGGTGGCGGCTTCTTCATGAAAGCTTTCTAGGTAAAACAGCCACTGATGCCATCAATATACTTACATTCATCAGCAAGTTCAGGAGCTTAGTGCTTGGGGCTTCCCAGAGGAGGCCTCCCAGCATCAGAGTATAACGTTCGTCCAGCTCCTGTAGACAATGGCAATTTTCATCCACGTGGGTCCGTTGAGGGAGGGAGAGGATGCGCCAAGCAGAGGAAAGAGAGATCAGATGTTGAGCAATGGGTGCAATGCTTAAAGTGTGTGAAGAAGAAATAACCATAGAAGTCAGATTTCAAAACTAACAACTTACATGTCTGTCGGGCTCAGTTTTCACCTCAACGACAGCCGCAAAGGCTGCGTGCACAATCAGGCTGTGGAGCTTCAGTGGCAATTTGGGCTTCATGAGGCTGGAGAGATGGAGGGAAAAGTTTTTAGACTCTGTCTCCTTGGAGTCTTCCTCATATTGAGGTGGGGGGGGGCATCAAATACATTTCATTCTCTTGAACTTCTAGTGAATGCATGTGTTAGCTTAAACCACTTTTTACAATCAAGCACTGTATAAATTTTACAGGATAAAATGAATAAAGGTAAAATTAAAATAAACATACGAGGGCACTGTTTATGTGGCAGTCTACCTGGCACTTTGTATGCAAGCCTCTAGGTCTTAGTTAATCCCACCCCTAAAAGCTGAGCTGTTTCGAAGTTATCTCTAGGCAATATATCTTCTATTTTCTCTCTCACATCTCCACTCATCCTGTAAATAGTTGCTGCATAAATAAAGCTTTTTGAATGCAAAAAAAATCAAGAAATTGTAAGAAATAATTCCAATCTAATTCCAATCTAAGTGGCAAGGTCTGGTAACACCTTTCCACATTCTGCCCCCCCCCCAGCTCATTGTCAAGCTCAAAGAACCCAGCATACCTCAGTTGGTAAAGAGCCTCCAGCGCCATAGCAAGAACCAATTCAGGGTGCGTAAAGCACGGAATCCGTCCCATGATTTCCTGATAGAGAACAGAGGGCAGAGCGGGGGGAAGTCAGTTCCCTATGGACATCAGGCGGATTCTTCCAACCCCAAACTCAGGGCAGAAATTGGCAATTTAATGCCAACCCTTCTCTTGGCCAGACCCCGCCAAGCCTTCCTTCTGCCCAACATCCCCCAAATCCCACCCCAGCTCTCCTGCCCACCTCACCCCTGGATACCTTATACAACCTGTCACTCACCGCAATTGCCTTGACGGCCAGATTTTTGGAGTACCTCAACGTGTCCTTTTCTCTCATGCGGGCCTCCGAGCAAGTGGCCAGCACGCAGGAGAGGAACGACTCATCCTTCTCCTGTTGCTGAAAAGGCAAAAGTAAGACTGTCAATTCATGGCAGGAGGGCTTCTCTGCATCTGAGACTGCCTAAATGGGGGTATAAACAGCATTGGTGGATGGGGGGTGGGTGGGTGAGGGATTTAGTATGTACTGTGCTGTTTTCTCAAATACTAACCGCACGTGATACCACAGGCCTGACAGTCACCGAATCATCTGCAACAAGAGAAGAAGGAAAGGACATGGGAGCACGTTAGTTCATTTCTACTTATTTTCCACAGTTGAGTATTAAAGCATTAAGGCCACTCCTCCTTATGCTCCAAAATGAAAATGAAGCATTTGTTCACCTGGGCGCACAGCAGCCCTGGACTTCTTGGGCTCAGGCCTCTCGCCGAATACCATGTCCCTCAGTCTCCTGAACCTAGAAGAGAAGGAGAGGAGCAGATGTTGTTGTTGTTGCGTGTCAAGGGCCCCCAAGACACCCCTGAATAAAAACACGGTTCACACATCATTTTTGTTTTGGTTTTTGGCATAATTTTGGCCACAACGTTATTGAATTACAGTAAGTGAGTGGTTGCTTAGGCATGGGTTAGTGACTATCTGTTCCCACTTGGAGGTAGGAACAGAACTGACAACCACACCTGTACGGAAGTCAGTAATGGTAAACAATTTTGGGGAAAGAATAAAGCTGGGAGCCAGGCTCACACCTCTCCCCAAATGCTCCCTGGGGCCCTAGACCTTTGTCAGGGATACGGACGAAAGCATGGCGAGCCCCTGGATTCCTTTAACGGAATACCCTTGCAGCAGCAAGGCATTGGAGGGGCAGGCACAGCCAACCTCATCCCCTCCACCAACCAAAAAATTAACAAATGAACAGCCACACCCTAGGCCAACCCCAACCTCTCTCACCACCAAAGAAACACAAATGAACAGCACGAGCAACGCTGACACCAAACCCTACATACATTAAGCAAAATAGAAACATTGCCACCTGACCCCACCCCCATCTTCCCCCCCCCAATGTCTCAACAAATGAAACTGATTTGCAAAAATGTTACATGGAAAAAATACAAGAGACATTACACATACTTCTGTAAAACAAGAAAATCTTTAACAAAAACAAAACAAAACAAAAAAACAACAACCAATGCCTAACTGCAACCTTACAAGTTGTGACGATTTGCACAAACCCAAATGGCCCCAGCCAATCAGCCAAATAGTAAAATTCCTACCAGGCCCCATGACAGGCATAGAAAGGTCAACGCAAACAAACCCTAATTAAAGGGACGGTGGGCGGGTACTCCGATGTGCGCAGCAAAAAGAGGAAGTTCAGCACTGTGCACAGGGACCTATATAGCACCCCCATCAATCAAATAAAATTGCAACCATCAATTTTCCCAAGCAACATTGGGGTGCCCAATCAAATTTGTGGCCATCCAAACTAACCCGCCCAGCAACAGGGGATGTTGCTCCCACCGCAACATGTGCTCTCCATGAAGGAGAACCCGCTTTGTTATACCACCCTATACCAGCAGGTCTCAGTTACAACCAGTGCTTTTTTTCTTGGGGATGCAGGGTTACGCATACCCCTAAACATTTTTTGAATCTTTGCATTTCCTGTACTGCATTTATTTCCCCCGATTTGAACTATAAAATGGTGATTTTCTTGAGTCAAAATGAGATTACCCCTAAACATTTTTTTAAAGAAAAAAAGCACTGGTTGCAACATAAAAATCACAATATAAAAACACAAAATGCATAATAAAGATTAAAAACAACCCAGTAAACTCCCCTCCCAACACATTTCAAAAGCTGAGACAGAAGCCTACAACCAAAATGATGTGTGTGTGTGTGTGTGTGTGTGTGTGTGTGTAAGAGAAGACGGAGTCTTTGCAGCGTAGCAATAACACAAACACGCTACTTCGGCTGCAGGACATCGTATCAACAAGGAAATTTGGTGTTGTTGCATCTCCTTGGGTATTTGTTGATTTGTTACCACGAGGAGTTGTTGTTGTGGAGGTATAGTTTGACGAGATTTCTGGTTATTTGTACCCTAGGTGCCCACTCACGCACAAAACAAATCTCACTGCAGCCAACCAAAGACCACCACCAACACCCTAGGTCACCCCCCCCAACCTCTCTCACCACCAAGGAAATGCAACAAGTGAACAATAAGTGAACCCACAAATACACAAAATAGAGAGAAGCATTGCCACCCGACCCCCCCTCTTCCCCCCCTCTTTTCTTTCTAACCTAACACTGCAGGCAACACTAACGTCTCACAACAAATGAAACTGATCCGTAAAAAACACAACTTGAAAAAAGAGAAAATCCATTTTTTTTGTAAACTACTCACAACCAAGGAAATGCAACGAGTGAACCCACAAATACACTAAGTAGATGAGAAGCATTGCCACCCGACCCCCCTCTCCCCCCCGACCCCTCTTTTCTTCCAAACCTAACACTGCATGCAACACTAATGTCTCACAACAAATGAAACTGATCCGTAAAAAACACAACTTGAAAAAAGAGAAAATCCTTTTTTTGTAAACTACTCGCAACCAAGGAAATGCAACGAGTGAACCCACAAATACACTAAGTAGAAGAGAAGCATTGCCACCCGACCCCCCCTCTCCCCCCCCGACCCCCTCTTTTCTCCCTAACCTAACACTGCATTCAACACTAATGTCTCACAACAAATGAAACTGATCCGTAGAAAACACAACTTGAAAAAAGAGACAACCACAGTTTTTTTGTAAACCAAGAAATCTTTAACAATTTATTTATTATTATTTTAAAAACCAACAAGGAAAGGAGCAAGAAGGAGTTATCTAAGATGATCGTGGACTTGGAGAGAAAGGAGATAGAGGAAGAGCTTTGAACCATCTGATTTCAGAACGCTGGTGGGAACTTAATCGGTTTCTGAAATTTGCAGGCACCTGATGCTCAAAGGACAAGTTAGCCTGCCGGGCTGGGAAGCAGATTACACCAATTGTTGGAGGAGAAAAACAGCATCTTTTACCATTACCGAACATCGCTATATAGAGCTTCCATGAACAGAGGCACTCTACCTCTGGAGCCAACTGCTAGAGGACAAGCCGCAGGAGCGGGCTACTGCTTGTGAGTTTTACAGGACACATCTGTTTGGACTAGATGGGCTTTCCCTCTGATCCAGCAACAGGGCTCTTTCCGTGTTTTTTATACACCCACAGACCCCAAACGGTTCTCCACAGGAACACAGTAGTGCACCTCATGTTTTGGGGGGGATTCCAACACTCCCCACCACCACCCCACCACCCCCGGCAAAGCAAAGAGAAGGGAAGCATTTCCCGCGTTTAAAAGAACCCTCAGCGTAATGCTTTTAGGACAACCCTGCCCCGCCGGGAGAACGAAGGGGGCTTCTAGGAGGGTCGTCAAAGCATCAAGGCATAGACGAGCCGAAGGATGCGATTAAAACTCTCTTAGTGCCAGAGTGACTGACAGGAAGACTGACAGAGCGTCCGAAGAGTTGAGAAACGGAGAAGGGGTAGAGCGAGGGCGGGGGGTGTATAGTGCTTAGAATTCTGGACTAGGAGACCCGAGTGCAAATCCCCGCTCAGTCACGAAGCGCGCTGTTTGATATTGGGTCCAGTCACTCCCATCCTAGCCTGCCGAACAGGTTTGTTGTGAGGGGGAAATCAGGGGGGGAAAGGCAAGCCATAAAGGCCACCTTAAACTGCTTGGATGCAAAGTGGGCTACGGATGTAATAAAAAGCATCCAAAATAATAATAATAATAATAATGGAAGGTACCCTGGGGATCATCTAGTTCAACCCCCTTCAACCCCGGAATATGCAGCTGTACCTTATGGGTATCGAACCTGCATCCTTGGCGCTAACGGCAGCTCACTCTAAGCAGAGGAGCCACAATGAGATTTGAGGGAGGATGGGACGGCAGGGAAAGGGGGGGCGCGCGAAGAGAAGTTAAGCTCTTCGGGAAAATGTTAAATTCCATGGGGATGCTGGCCGTGTGGGGGACCCCAAGCCCTCGCTCCAGAAGACTAAAAAGAAGAGGCAGAAGAAATCCTACTTACAGATTGACGATGCTGGCCATTTCTCCAGGTGAAATCCGCTCCGGTTTAAAATAAACTCCTTAAAAATCCTCACGCAACAGTAACTCCGAACTTTGCCTCTAACCCTACTGCTACTCCTCTCCGTCTAAAATGTGTGCACAAAATATCCAAATGAAAAATGAAATGATAAAGTTGAAGCAAATAAAATAAAAGTTGAAGCAAATAAAAGAAAAGTCTACACCTATCTCCCCTGTTGGCCGCTCGCTCGCTCGCTCCGTAGCTAGCTAGATTGCTTGCTCCTCCGTCCCACTTCTATCTCAGCCAACTCCTCCCAACTAACTCGCGAAGGAGATGTGGAACTGCTGTCTTTTATGCAAGCAGCAATAGATGTCACAGAGATGGGCAGGACACTGTTTCCATGGCAACCCACCCACCTTGACCCTGAACAAATCTCCCCCCTCTTTAGTTCCGATGTTTTCTCCCTCACTTTGGGACACTTGCTGTTTGCAGCTTTACAGATCCCTTTTTATCACAAACCAGCTCATACATTTTCTTGCAACTTTTCTAAAGAGAGCCCATCCAAACATTTTTTAAAATACAGTAGAGAACTCACGCCTCCTGAGCCTAGGGAGGGTTTGCTTTGCATGCAGGAGATCCCAGGTTCAGTCCAGGATCTCCACCAGATAGGGCTGGAAATGCCCCGGGTTTGAAAACCCTGCAGAGCTGCTGCCAGTCAGTGTAGGCAGTGCTAAGCTAGATTGTAAAGTGCAACTTCCTATGAATGCTCCTCTTACACTATTTATTGAAACACAAGCAAGCTACCTTATCAACAAGTTGTGAGAGTTCATTCATGACTTTTAACAAACAGCAGAAACAATTTTATAATTTTTATGTAAGTACAGAAATCCTGAATATGAAAGGAAGGAAACTTTCTGCCTCTGCAATAAAAGCTGCTGCACTGCCAGTTGAGCTGTCAATTGAAACAGACCCTCCAAAGTTTCAAAGGTGAAAAGGGAATTTTGAGCATCTGAGCACACTTGGGCCGTCTTCTGCATTAACATGTGCAGAAAGTTGCAGGACCAGGCATCGGACTTCCCGTTTCAAAGGCGAAAAGGGATTTTTGAGCATCTGAGCACAACTGGGCTCTCTTCGGAGTTAACGTGAAGTGCAGAGAGTTATTGCCTTGAGCAGGGGTAGGCAACCTAAGGCCCGGGGGCCGGATCCGGCCCAATCGCCTTCTAAATCCAGTCCGCGGATGGTCCAGGAATCGGTGTGTTTTTACATGAGTAGAACGTGTCCTTTTATTTAAAATGCATCTCTGGATTATTTGTGGGGCATAGGAATTCGTTCATTTTTCCCCCCTTCAAAATATAGTCCATCCCCCCACAAGGTCTGAGGGACAGTGGACTGGCCCCCTGCTGAAAAAGTTTGCTGACCCCTGACTTACATACTAAGCTTAATGAGTTCAACTTATGCACAAGGTTTAGACATAGGAACATGCCTTACGCTGCATCAGACCATTGTGAAAATCCAACTTAGCACTGACTACATTGACTCACTGGCAGAGGAAGAGGAGTGGGGGGGGAGCGCACCGCCCCCGGCATTGCGATCCCGGTGGGGTTCCATCACGGCTGACCCACCCCCCGTCTGCGCTGGGCGCTCCGCCTCCGCAGGCGACGTGCCCCGCCCCAATACCCATGCCCTGCCCCTTTGGGGGGCATTTGTGGGGCATAGGAATTCCCCCCCCAAAAAAATATAGTCCGCCCCCCCCAGCGGCTGAAAAAAGGTTGCTGGCTCCTGGCCTTGAGCCTCCTCAGGACTGGTGCAGGGGCTGTGCATTTCAGGGTACCGGCCAAGGCCCGTGCCCCAATATTTATTGCTGATTCTATTGAGTCCATCAGTACAGTGGTACCTCGGGTTACATACGCTTCAGATTACATACGCTTCAGGTTACAGACTCCGCTAACCCAGAAATAGTGCTTCAGGTTAAGAACTTTGCTTCAGGATGAGAACAGAAATTGTGCTCTGGCGGTGTGGCAGCAGCAGGAGGAGAAAGAAAAGTGGTGTTTCTTTCTTTCTTTCTTTCTTTTTTTTTTGGAAAATATTTATTACTTTTCCAACAGTTTAAACACTACAAAAAAAAAGAACAATACAATACAAAAACAATACATAACACTAACACATTAAACTAACAAAACAAAACAAAAACAGTTTGAAACACATCAAACAATTTCAATATCTTATCTTTCATTCGCTTATTTCAACGACCTCCTCACACCTCCCTTTTTGTATTCCACTTCTGTTAATTGTTTCAGCAATTCCTTTCCATCTTCCTCTGTTTTCTATCCTATAATTATCTTAACACATTCTAACCTTATTTTTTCCTTTAATATTCTATTAATCTATTTATACTTAATTCCTTATAACATTTCTACTAAAGCCATATTCCAACATTCTTCTAACATTCTTTAATTTTACAGTATTTCTGTAAATAGTCTTTAAACTTTTTCCAGTCTTCTTCCACCGACTCTTCTCCCTGGTCTCGGATTCTGCCAGTCATTTCCGCCAGTTCCATATAGTCCATCAACTTCATCTGCCATTCTTCCCGGGTGGGTAAATCTTGCGTCTTCCAATATTTCGCGATGAGTATTCTTGCTGCTGCTGTTGCATACATAAAAAAAAGTTCTATCCTTCTTTAATATCAATTGGCCGACCATGCCCAGGAGAAAGGCCTCTGGTTTCTTCAGGAAGGTATATTTGAATACCTTTTTCATCTCATTATAAATCATCTCCCAGAATGTCTTAATCCTTGGGCATGTCCACCAAAGGTGAAAGAATGTACCTTCAGTCTCCTTACATTTCCAACATTTATTGTCAGGCAAATGGTAAATTTTTTCAAGCTTGACTGGTGTCATGTACCACCTATAAATCATTTTCATTAAATTTTCTCTTAGGGCATTACATGCCATGAATTTCATACCTGTGGAGCTAAAGTGGTGTTTCAGGTTAAGAACAGTTTCAGGTTAAGTACAGACCTCCGGAACGAATTAAGTACTTAACCTGAGGTACCACTGTATATTGTTGTGACCTGGCATTTTTAATGAAGTGCAATATAGGCTCGTCTTACATCTTTATTATTGTTATTATTAATAATAACAATAATAACAATAATAATACAGTGGTACCTTCGGTTACAGACCCTTCAGGTTACAGACGCTTCAGGTTACAGACTCCGCTAACCCAGAAATACAGTCATACCTCGGGTTACAGACGCTTCAGGTTGCGTTTTTTGGGTTGCGGACCGCCGAAACCCGGAAGTACAAGAACGGGTTACTTCTGTGTTTCAGCGGTCGCGCAAGTGCAGAAGTGCTAAATCGTGCTTTGTGGATGCGCAGAAGCGCCGGACCGCAACCCGCACGTGCGCAGACGTGCTGCTGTGGGTTGCGGACGCTGCGGGTTGCGAACGTGCATCCCGCACAGATCATGTTCACAACCCGAGCGTCCGTTGTAGTACCTCAGGTTAAGAACTTTCCTTCAGGATGAGAACAGAAATCACGCGGTGGCGGCGCAGCGGCAGAAGGATGCCCCATTAGGTAAAGTGGTGCTTCAGGTTAAGAACAGTTTCAGGTTAAGAACGGACCTCCAGAATGAATTAAGTTCTTGACCCGAGGTACCACTGTAAATTGCACAGAAGAATTCCATGTTGCCTGTGGGAGCGGCTGCGTAGACCTCTTTGCAGCTGCATGATCCATGCATTTGATCTATAACCAACTGGTAAAGCTTCATAATTGGTTCTGGCTTCGTGTAGGAGATTGAATGCATTCTTCTATTTCCTCAACCCTGTCTTCCACCCCCCCCTCCTATACTTGGAGACTACTCATCTCCAAAGAGTGAAATGTTTATGAGTACTGCAGATCTAGTCTCAGATGTCAAACCTTTCCCCAGACAGTGTGCTTAACTGAATAACCCTGAAAGACAGGGGAGAATGTGACCCTCTAGATTGGACATTTATTTTGACTAATATGTGCTTTTCATTCACACTCCCTTCTCATACAATTTTTGCTGCACGGCAGAATTCCATTGCTTCTTGTTTGGGGTAGCACAGATTAGGCAAGTTTTCTTTTAAAGACCGACAGAATCAAATCTCTCCTGGACCTCTAGGTTTTTGTAAATAGTTGGTTTCTGAAGTGAACAAATGTTTTTAGTGCTCAGTTTGTGTGTGAAGAGGCATATTGTCTTAAAATCTGCTCCCCCCCCACTTCCCCTTCCCTGTCCTTTTTCATTTTTGTGTGTTGTGTTGTTAACACTGTAAGATTCCAACAGGTACTGTCTTGTTTTACTTGACTGTATGCAAGCCAGTCTAGGAGCCTTCTTTGGCTGACAAGGAGGGTACAAATGCTCCAAATAAGAAAATAAAATATATAAATACCAATTCGCTTATTGATCTTATTTCAAGAGGTAGCAAGAGACTCCTTCTTGGGGTACGCACTTTAATACTGAGGTTCTGATGGTGCTGGTTCATCCTAAAACAGCACTCAACAATGCAGCCTTGGCGAAATACAAGCAGCTAATTAGCAAGGGTACTGGAGATTATCATGGTTTGTAGCACATTTGGGAAACGGACCTGCAACTGCAAATCGATTTGCGCAAGTGGGATCAAGCTTGGACCAAAGAGCTCTGTTGAAAACAATACCAGCCAGGATTCAGGAGGCTATGCTTAATATGTTCTCCTGACATGGCATCGGACAAGACTTTGGCTGTAGAGGCTGGATTTCTGCTTTTGGGTCTTTAGTATATTATCTGCTATCGAAGTCGTGTCTTACAGACACCTTTGTCTCTCCTAAGTGCCTTGCATCCTGATATCAAACAAAAAGCATTAGTATCCCCCCCCCTCTCTGTGTGTGCTTTTTAAGTAAACCTGTGAGACTGTCTTGTTTTCAAGCCACTTTGTTTTATTCCGAGAAGCAGCAAGGGATGTGCACTCAAAGGTTAAGATGATGGTGATGATGATGATGATAGAATTTATATATCCCCAGTTAAACCAAAGACTGTGCATAGATAAGAAAGAAGGTATCGCAAAAGAAACATCTAAATTTGAAAAAGCGTTAACCCATAATAAAGGAAAACACATATCACGAATTTATGACTATTTATTAGAATGGGAAGTAAAAGAAGAACAAGATAAAAGTTGTAATGGTAAGATGGGCGCAGGATTTGGGATACAATATTTACATGGAACAGTGGGAAAGATTATGGAGGACAGATATAAAATTCACAGCATGCTATAACCTCAGAGAAAATGCCATGAAGATGTTATACAGATGGCATCACACTCCTCTAAAACTT